CTTGCTGACATGGAAGAGGACTTAAAATACTTACTGATGAAGTTCAAAGACCACAGCGTTTGGTATAGATTGCACCTCAATGTAAAGAAAACAAAAATCCTCACCACTGGACCAGTCAACAATATCCATATAAACGAAGAAAAGATTGAAGTTGTGAAAGACTTCATTTTGCTCTGATCAGTGATCAACACTCGTGGAAACAGCAGTCAAGAAATGAAAGGATGTATTGCTTTAGGCAAATCTGTATCCCAAGACCTCTTTGAAGTGTTGAAGAGCAAAGATATCACTTTGAGGACTGAGAAGTGCTGGACTCAAACCATGACATTCTCAATAACCTCATATGTGTGTGAATGTTAGACAGTAAATCAGGAAGACTGCAGAAGAATTGATGCATTTGAGTTATGGTGTTGGACCAAAATATTAAAAGTACCATGGACTGTCAAAAGAACAAACATATCTGTGCTGGAAGAAGTACAGCCAGAATGTTTCCTGGAAGCCAGGATGGCCAGTCTCTCATACTTCAGTTCCTGGAAAGGATATCATGTTTGGCAAAGTGAGGAGGGTTGGAGAAAAAGAGGAAGACCCCAAATGAGATGGATTGGCACAGTGGCAGCAGCAATGGGTTCAAATGTAGCAATGATTGTGAAGTTGGCACAGCACCAGGCAGTATTTCGTTCTATTGTCCATAGGGTCTATATGAGTGTGTACCCACTCAATAGCACCTAACAAATAATACTGCATGATGACTGTCACAGCTCCTGGAGTCACATCCTGTCCCTTTGACTTAAAGTGGGAAAGAGTTCTTTTGATGGAAGATTAGGTAGACATTCTACACAGTCCTTCTAAAACAAACAGACCAAGCAAAACAGGTACACATGATAATCCCGAAAACCTATGCTTCAGCAGAAAGGATAGAGAAGTGGACTGGCTAGGGTAAGAAACTGAACAAGAGAAACTGAACAAAAGAATAGACAGTTGATAGCTTGGGTGTGAGGGGGGCACGGGAGGGGGAACACAAGAAGTGGGAAGGGAATGGAAGAACAAGGCTGATGGGAGAACAGTTAGGCAGGTTCACATGGGCTAAGTGGGACAGAGGTAAATGATGATGTAAGCACAACCTTGGAACAACAGAGCTCCGGGATACAGGGATTGAGGTATGGTCTGAAGGGATAAAAGAAGAGAATAATGTTAAGATGCTTGGCTGTCTTTTGAATCTTGGTTTCCCTTGCCCACCATTGTAGAATAGACACTTGATAGGGGGAGAAAGGAATAGCCAGAATCATCACTACAGAAAGTTTGTAAGTCCTTCTTCAGCCTATAACTGATTGGAATACCTTAAAGGGGACTAGAAGTTGCATAGTGAAAGAGAGGCTTCCTGTGGAGCCTTTACATTGCATAAGACCATTGGTGGAGCCCAGAACCAACTGAGGTAGGTAATTTCCACTGGAAAGGATGAGTAGACCAGCCTGGAGCAGCTAAAGGAACAGAAGATACTTCATGAAAGAAAGATCGGCAGGACAAATCTGAAACAATAACAGCAGTCGGATTGATTACTACAAGAACAAGTAAGCTGTTCACCCAGGAGCCATCAAGACAAGTGGTTGGGACCCCTCAGATAAAACCCCCTTCCAAGACTGAGACTCAAGGGTAATATATGAGCAGACATGTGGTCTGGCTGGTGACCACATTGATCACTAATTTGGGGAAGAGGGGGAGAAAAACAGCAATGAAGTTGCAAGCTAAGCCCGACCACATGAATAGACCAGTGAACCCGGGTAGAGACCTGGATGGCCAGCAGTATGGCAAGACCCGGGGACTCCTGGCCCAGAGGCAGTGACAGGGCCACAGAGGACCAAAGCGGAGAGTGAAGCGTCCAGCTGATATAAAGTGAGGGGAGATGAACAAGAACACCCATACCTGCAGATAGTACCCACTTGACCTGGCTTCGATGGCTAGATGATCAGAACTCAACTAGAAGAAGAAAGAAGGAGGAGGGGAGAATAATCTGCTACAATTTGATGAACTTTACCTATACTTATGGATGTAGTCGCTCAAAAATTGGAACAAATCTTTACAGCAAGGATCACTCCCACCCTCTTGGTACACAGGGTTGACAGGGATAGGCAAATTAGACATTGGCTACCCAAAATGGGGAGGCCTATAAAGGCAAGAAATGACTGGCTTACAAGATTTCAAGAGGGAGCCTAGTTCCAGATGGGGCAGGGAAAGGTAGAATCACCACTGAATGATTTCCAATCTGTTGGGACCGGGCTGGCAAAAGGAAATGGGGATAAGGCTCTTTTGGTACAAAAGTGAAGAATTGTCATCAGGACTAAATGTGAGGGTAGGAAATATAGAGGTAGATGTTTTTTTGACAAAAGGAGGAGAGTGATTGATTTTGCAGCCCAGGAGCGGAGGTCCCTGGGACCATCAAGTAAGAAGAATGGAGGCGTGACCCTACCCAGAGAGGCAGTGACGCCAGCGATGGAGACAGAGACAATGACGTGGACAGATGGACACTAGACTCAGGGAGGGAGAAGGGCTGTGTGTTGGTGGCCTGGGGGCAGGCCTGTGTGGTGTACCCTTTGGTTGTTTGATGATGCATGGAGGGGATGGTAATCATTGCAATGAAACCAAATACGATAGGATAAGTTTAAAGCTGATGCTCTCCCATGTAAACCTCACAATAAAAACTTTTTAAAAAATGCTACATCAAATGATTTAAAAAAAAGAATAGACAGTTGAATGAACTGTCGGCTGGCCTAACACCATGTGGATACCTTGAGCTTTTACAACTGCATTCTGTCGAGATAGTGACTTAACAGGACGATGACAGGAAAACTATGAAATTATTCTTTCTTGCTGTTATTTGTCTGCTTTCTCTCACACACTTTTTTCCCTTTGTTATTTCCTTTCTTGCTGTTGTTTGTTTTTATTCTTTCCTTCACCCCCCTGTCCCCCACCTGACAAGAGGGAGCAACCTTGTCCACATGACTCTGGTCCACCTGTACCTCTTGCAACCTCACTTACTGGGTAAGGGCCACTACTCCTGTACCACGTGATCAACTATAAACACCAGCCAACCAACCTAAACTGCCCTACCTGAACAGGGCACTCCAAACACACGTCCATTCTCTATCACACCCATCAGAGGACACAAGGGTAGTGCTTAAGAACACACTAACATATAATCATCGGTGAAATACAAATACAATGACAATTTCAGTTCACACGAAGAAAGCAAATGGATTGGTTCAAACAAGTGACCAAAATACAAGAAGTAGCATATGATCAAGAACCAATGGTACTGAAGGAAGAAGTCCACGGTGCACTTAAGTCCTTGGCAAAGAACAAAGCTCCTGGAATTTGTGAAATACAAATTGAAATCTTTCAACAAACTGATGTAGTGCTAGAGACACTCTTCAGCTATGCTAAGAAATTTGGAAGACAGCTACCTGGCCAACTGATTGGAAGAGATCTATTTTTATGCCAATTCCAAAGAGAAGCATGGCCACAAATCCTTCAGAGGAGTGAAAGATTCCTTGTTGGGAGGAAGAACAATAAAGAAGGAAGAAGCATTTGATGTGTTCTTTTACGAAAAACAGTAATTTGGTCATAGGGTGATGTGACAAGTGACAGGTGATAAGCGTTGGCCAGGAAGGAATTAGCAGGTAGTTCTGCCAGGCTGAATTTATACATGCCAAAGAATAATGAGAAACTGTTTAAGTGCCAGAATTGCAGAATTTCTTGATTGCCAGGTTCAGGAGTCCCATTTGAGACATGTGCTCACAGAAGCATGTCTGAGTGGTTCTTCTAGCGAGGAAAGGGTGGCGGGCGAGTATCTATCATGTATCTGTGACCAGCTGTGTGCTTGGCCCTTTGCCAAGTGCTTTATTTACACTCAGCCATAGAAGCCTCTCAACAGCTTGCCAGATGAGTATCAGGATTCCTATCTAAGGAGAAGGTGCCACACCTCTCACTTTAGCAGCTGGTAGCTGAATGCTCACGGGCATGTCTGCGGCTCTCTCAGAATGGGCATAATTTGGAAGTGTCAACTTGGTCCCGAATAATTGACAGATTCCCTACATACCTAAGGTCCCACAGCTAGTAGCTTGGCCAGGACTGGAGGGGTGTCAGCGGGTCTACTAAACTCCAGGCAGCTGCGGGGCGAGGTCCCTGCAGTCTGGGAGGCCTGAGCCCGCCCCTCCACCCCCGGGCGCACCCGATTGGCCGCAGGAGCCGTGCCAGCTGGAGGGGGCGGGGCGCTGCCAGCTGGAGGGGGCGGGTCTCCTGGGCTGGGTCTCTGGACTTGCAGAGGCCGAAGCATCGAGCTGGGCCGCGGTGCCCCTAGTCTGCAGACCGCGCCCAGGCTGAGCCCCCTGGCTGCGTGAGCGCTCCGTTCCGGCATGCTGCGATGGGGCAGCCAGGCGCTCCGGCGCTTCTCCACCGGCCGGGTGAGTCCCGCCCAGGCGCCCAGTGAGCTCTCACCCTGTCCTGGATGCCAGACCCTGAGGCGGGAGGGATGGGCCCACAGGGTTGGGATGAGGAGCGGTGCTCAGACGGTTTAGAAACCTAGGGGGACGTTTTCAAAAAGAGAAAGATCAGGATAGAGGGTCTATATGCGGCTTGTCAAGCAAACCGTTGTCTTCTATGGGAAAGAAGCTTTGGATGAGATTTCTGGACCTGCGAAATCGGCCTGGGACTGACAGGGTGGGAAGGATCACTTGGCAAAGGCTGGAGGGTCTGCTTGTCTAGAGATGGAGCCTGGAAGGAAGAGACCTTCTCCTGAACAAGGGTAGTATCACTTCAGCCGGGTATTCCCTGGAGGCCTGGGGTGTGAGCTCTCGCGATTGGCCTTAGTATCACCAAGACCTGTTCAGATCCTGGCACTTTGCGCTGTGTAGCTAGCTGAACGGTAGCCGGCTAGATTTCTAGGATTTTCCAGCGGTGCAGAGAGAGCCACGCTGGAGCATTCATCTGGAGCGCCAGAACCGAGCGCATGCCCAGCCCAGCGGCTCTGAATTGCATCAGCTCCTCCCTGCTTGGGACCGGAGTTTTACACGTTGCCAGTGACGTTCCCTTCAGCACTTCGGGATCCTGGGGAAAGAAGCCTCCCTGGGTCTTGACGGACACTAAACTGTTAGGAGAAGAGAAAATACCCATCACGCATACACGATCTCTTTTATGAAAAAATACACGCCTGCTATGTTATAAAATAATTTGCTTTATTATTTGTCTCTTCTTGGGGTTCCTTTGCCAGTACCTGTAAGAAAACTTGGGAGGCAAAGAAAAGCCTTAGTATCACCAAGATTGGCTCAAACTTGCATAAAAGGAAGAGCTTCCCTCACCCTCAGACCCCCAGATAATGAGAATTCATTCACAGTACCTCCTACAATCAGTTTCTGTTACTTTGGGGAGGGTTCCCCTTTTAAAAAACAAAAGTGGGGAAACAGACTCTGTGTTTTTGTTTTTGTTTTTTTGTAAATTGAGTGAAAGTATACAGGGCAGATTATCAATTTTACATTCAACAAATCATATACTTTGTTTCATTACAATGCTTATAATCCCCTCCATGTACCATCAGTTAACAGCATTTCTCTGTATTCATTTTAGCTCTTGCTCTTTTTTTTTAAACACCCACGCATATATAATAACTTAAACCACCAAAGGGCACATTCTGCAAGCCTGCCTCCTGGCCACCAACTCTTAGTCCCTCTCTTACCATGAATCTAGAGTTCTCAGCTGCTCCCTCTCTCCATGTCCCCATCTCTACCTTCATCTCTGATGTCGCTGCTTCTCTGGATAGGGTCCCACATTCTGCTTGTGCTCTTGTCCCTTGATGGTCCTAGGGTCGTCTGTTTCTGGACTGTAAGATTAACCACTCCCCTGTTTTTGTTACAAAACTTATACATTTACAGTTGTGACAGTCACAATTAGTCATGATAACAATTACTCACTACTGAATCATAAGAATCTTATTCCCATCTCTTTTTACCAGACCCATCTAGACAAGATGAAACCTACTCAGTGGGGACTCCATCTTCCCCCACACACTCTTAAGCTAAACTCCCTCTTGAAAACTTTTAAGCCAGCCACTTCGAGCCTTTATCACCCCTTCATTTTAGGTAGCCAATGTCTAAGTTGCCCATCCCTATCTACCCTGTGTACAGAGGGGACAGCATTGATGCTTGCTGTGAAGACGCCTTCCCTCTCTGTTGGTATTTTGAACTACTGCCTCCATGAGTATAGGTCAAGGTCATCAAGTTGTAGCAATTTACACTTGTTTTCTTTTTCAAAACTTATTGCTGCTTATTATTATTATTTTTTATCTTCCTCTAGTCGAGTTCTGATGATCAAATTCTGATTATCAAGCCATCAAGTCTAGGTCAAATGGGTGCTATCTGCAAGTTTGGGTGTTCTTGTGCGTCTCCCCTCACTACATATCACCTGGATGCTTCACTCTCTGCTCTAGCCGTCTGTGGTGGCTATGTCCTTGTCCATGGGCTCAGGTGTCCCCAGGTCTCACCACACTTTGGACCAAAGAGCCCTTCCTCTTCTTTCTCTCATCTCCAGGGCAATGGGGAAACCTACTCTTTACGGCTTTTGCCTGCAGTTCTCAGCGATCTCTGCCTCGTGGCACCTGGGGATCTGGGTTGGATGGCACAGAGCGCTGAAGTCTTGTCCCTGTTTGTCTTTTTGATCTCTCTTTTCACCACCTTACATTAAATCATCTTTCTTTTGGAGAGCTCAGGGGAGACTTGAAGGATTGCATAAATTCATTAATAAAAGTTGATTATCCCAACTAAATCAATGACTTGTTCATTTCAAATACCTTCTTTAGATTACTATACACACAGACCTCACCAGATGGAATACATAGAAATCAAATTGACTACATTTGCAGAAAGAGACAATGGAAAAGCTCCATATCATCAGTCAAAACAAGGCCAGGGGCAGATTGTGGAACAGACTATCAATTGCTCATATGCAAATTCAAACTGAAGCTGAAAACAAGTCCATGAGAGCCAAAATATGACCTTGAATATATCCCACCTGAATTTAGTGATCATCTGAAGAACAGATTTGATACATTAAACACTAAAGACCGAAGACCAGAAGAATTGTGGGATGACATCAAGAACATCTTACAGGAAGAAAGCAAACAGGCATTAAGAAGACAATAGAGAAGGAAAAGATCAAAAGGATGTCAGAAGAGACACTGAAACTTGCTCTCCAGCGTAGCTATGCTAAAGCAAATGGAAGAAATGAGGAGGTACAAGAGCTGAACAGAAAAATTCAAAGGTCAGCTCGAGAAGATAAAGTCAAATATTACAACAAAATGTGCAAAGATCTGGAGTCAGAAAACCAAAAAGGAAGAACAAGCTTAGCATTTCTCAAACTGGCAGAATTAAAGAAAAAATTCAAGTCTCGACTTTCGTTATTGAAGGATTCTTTGGGCAAATTATTGAATGATGCAGAAAGCATCAAAAGAAGATGGAAACAAAATACAAGAGTCACTGTACCAAAAGGAAATGGTTGATGTTCAACCGTTTCAAGAGGTAGCATATGATCAAGAGCCAATGATGCTGAAGGAGGAAGTCCAAGGTGCATTGAAGGAATTGACAAAGAACAAGGCACCAAGAATTGATGGGATAAAAATTGAAATCTTTCAAGAAAGTGAGGCAGCACAGGAGGCACTCAGTCATCTATGCCAAGAAATTTGGAAGACAACTATTTGGCCAACTGATTAGCAGAGATCCATATTTGTGCTCATTCCAAAGAAAGGTGACCCAATGGAATGTGGAAATCATCAAACAATATCTTTGATATCCCATGCATGTAAAGTTTTATTCAAAGTAATACAGAAACAGCTGCAGCGTACATGGTTGACAGAGAATTTCCAAAGGGTCAAGCCGGATTCAGAAGAGGACGTAGAACTAAGGATCTCATTGTTGATGTCCGATGGATCTTGGCTGAAAGCAGAGAATAGCAGAAAGATGTTTACCTGTGCTTTATTGACTATGCAAAAGCTTTTGATTGTGT